TAATGGCGCTTTTCCACTGCGTGGTACGACTCGGCTCGGTACGGCTCAGTACGGCACGGCACGGCACGGTTCGGCTTGGCACGGTTCGCGTTTCCACTGCAGTTCAGTACCGCTTTAGAGTGGGCGGGATTATTCACATGTCGTTATAGTTGCGCCGATGATTCAATATTGCCGCGACTCCTAAAAAAAACTTTTTCATTCCGCGTCGCCCCATCAAGCTCTTGCTGGATCCGCTCCTCTGCTTTCAACGAGAGGAACGTGTGTTCTTCCGCAACAGACAACAAAACTTTTTGGTTGTTATAAAAGAAAGAATTTTTAGATATTTTGGCTGGAAACAAGACAAAAGATCTAAGCTAGAAAAGCATTTTTTGCAGTGTACTATTTTTATAATAAAATAAAATATATTATTAATAATAAAATATAATATATTTTATAAAATATATTATAAAATAATTATCATTTTAAAGCAGTTTCAATTATATTTTTGTATTCACTTGTTATTATAATCTATTCTATTCTGTTTTGTTCTGTTAGTCTGTTGCCAGACTACAAGTACAGCTTCTATTTAATCCGTTTCTAATTTTTATCAAAAGACGATTTGTCTCTTTAAATACATCAAGTCTTTCCATTCCATTTTTATTCTATATTTCTCTCATATTTACTGTAGCTTTGCAGTTTCTCCCATGACACTATATTGAAAGTAAAAAGTTATTTCAGACAGCAGTAGTTTGAGTGACAGATAATGCTGATGCCTTGAATGAATAGCCAAACAACTGACCTTCTAACAGCATCTGGCTAATCAATCACTGTCCTCTTGTTGTCTTCCTGTTTGCATGTGTTTCTGTGTCCATCTCTCTATCATCCTCATCTTTTTTTGTTGACTTTTTTTTGTTTCTTATTCTTCGCATTATGTTCTCTCTTTGCTCTCATTATCCTTCTCTCCTTCTCTCTCAGTCTCATTCTCTGTGTCTGGACAGATCTCTTTACTGTCTCTATACTCCATTGTTTGTATTGATTGCCATCTGAGGTCAATGGCTTTTTAAAGCATCTAGATCGAAATGTCTTCGGATCGGAGTGTCTTCCTCATCTCCCTCTCCTTCTCGCATTTCTTCCCTTTATCCCACTCGTTTATGTGCAGTTTCATTCTTTTATCTCTCTCCATCATTGATCCATGAGGCTGGAGAGCATTCTGGCCCGGTAATGTGTGGCCCATGGGCCTTCGGGTCAGTTTAATTTGAGTTCAGGTCAGTCGGGCTGAGAGAAAATGTGGTTTGACTGAATTAAAATGGTCTGGAAGATGATCCGATTTCATCCACTTCACAATGAGAGGTAAATTAAAGTAATGAAGTTTTAGCTGGTGTATACAAAAGAGAAAAGCTGGTGAGCGTGATTTCACCAAGTACAACATGTTCCTGGATCAACATCCTTGTTGATCCTGGAACATCATTCCAATCAACCAGTCAGAATAGAGATATAACTTTTCAGGAAATGTCAGTTTTAGGCTTACAATCAGGGTTAAGTGCTTCTACACTCTTGTTAATGAGCTATCATTTGCCACTGATTTTAGGAATAAATTATGGGTAGGGTTAGGTTTAGGGGTAGGGATTGGGTTAAGTCTATATTTTTGGACATTAATGTTGATCCAGGATCATCAAAAGATGTTGATCCAGGAACATGTCTTACTTGGCAAAATCACGGCGACTGAGAAAAGCTACACGCAAGCATTCACATTCATTTCAACAGCAGCTGCTTGAGATTTGAAATGTGCTATTTTCAACTTTTTATGCCAATTATGCCATAACTTTATAGAAATATTAGCAATTTCATACACTACTCCTCAAAAGTTTGGGGTCGGTGAGTTTTTTTTTTTTTTTTTTCATATTCTTCAACATAACTTTTAAAATTAGTAAAAAAGTACAGTAAAAATTCAAAAAAAAAAAAAAAATTGAAATGTAATTTATTCCTGTGATGGCAAAGCTGAAACTTCAATAGCTATAACTCCAGACTTCAGTGTCACATGATCCTTCAGAAATCATTCTCATATGCTAATTTACTGCTCAAGAATCATTTTGTCTTATTATTTTTTTTGTATAGAAACCATAATACATTTTAAAGATTATTTGATGTTCAAAATAAAGTTCAAAAATAAAATTTGTTTTTTAAAATATAAATAATTTGTAATAATGTTGTCTTTAGTGTCACTTTTGATCAATTTAACATGTGCTTGCTGAATAAAAGTATTGATTTCTTAAAAATGTACTGTACTTGAACCTTTGAATGTTAGTGTATTTATTTATTTATTTATTTTTGCTGTATCCTTAATAAAGGCAGAAATTCATTACTGTGAGTTTTATCAGTGATTAAGTGTTATAGTCAAATTCATGTTTTGTGTGATTAATTCTTTCATAAATGAACAACAAGCATGAAATTAATGGTCCGGTGGTCTTAGTTGGTTTTCTACCATATTGGCTATAATGTAAGTAACGAGGGTCCCGGAAGAGGAACGTAAAACTATTGGGACTTGGTTATTTACTCACTCATAGTCCTCACTAAAATCTGCAACAGCTTTTTTACTTCCACAGTAATTGTGTATGTCAGAGCGCCACCTACTGAGGGGAAGAAGATAATGCAAGCACATTTACTTTCTGCACTGAATCAGAGGAATTCAAGATCATCACAGTGAGATTGGAATATAGAAAAAAATATACTTTATAGCAGTTTTTATATTCTCCCAGGTATGCTCTATAAAAGATAAGGAACATCCGTTGAAATGAAAAGTGCGTGTGAGAGCCTGACGGTTTTGACAGATTACAGAGATGTTGCTTTGAGAAGGACGGCGGTGACAGAATAAATCAGAGTCATTTGTACATATAAAATATACATAAAACGCTTATGCATCGCTTATGAAAGGCACTTTGACAGTTTGGCGTTACATCATGCTTGATGCATAGTCATTATTTAGAGAGTAAACCCACTGTTTTATCTCTCACAGGTATTTGATACCATCTCTGGACAGATCGCATGCTGGCTTCTATCGGTGTATTGTGAGGAACAGAGTTGGGGCGTTGTTACAGAGGAGAACCGAAGTACAAGTGGCACGTGAGTAAGCATAGTAACTCTCAACCACTTTGGATTTCTATGTTTGTTGGTCCTTGCATGTGTGATTGTTACCAGACGGTCAAATTGTGCCCCAGTGTGTGTGTGTGTGTGTGTGTGTTTCACTGTTGGTGAGGTGGCGTACCTCTGTTTCATTAAAAGATCCTCTGCAATGCCACAGCTGGTCCACTCTAACTTCCTCATTAGATTGATGAGGTTGTGTCGACCAATCGCTTCGCTCTCTCAGAATTTAATTCATTCATCCGTTTTATAATCTGTTTAGCATGAGGAACAGCTGCTGCGCTTGAACCAAGTGGCAAGTCTCTGGTGTTTCAAGTCAGATTCAAGTTTCACTGCCCACTGACCTCTCCTCGGCTGTTTCCGGTCATTATCGAAGTTAGATTTTTCTCTGGCGGAGTATGTGAGTGAAGCAACAGCAACTTCCAGTCTCTAATCACTCCACTCCTCGCTGCTCACAGATCCGTGTTCGATCCATAGAAAAATGTGCACCTGATTTGCTGTAAAGTTCTTTAAATAAGTATGTTTTCATTCATCTCTCCGCACACATAACATAAAATTACTTTTATTTAGCAAGGATGCATTAAATTGACTAAAAGTGACAGTAAAGACATTTATAACGTTATAAAAGATTCGATTTTTTATTTCATTTAAACTTTTTCATCAAAGAATCCTGAAAAAGGTTTTCACAAAAATATTAAGCAGCACAACTGTTTTGAACATTGGTAGTAATAAAAATAATGATAAATGTTTGATGTGCACCAAATCAGCACATTAGAATGATTTCTGAAGGATCATGTGACTCTGAAGACTGGAGTAATGGCAGCTGAAAATTCAGCTTTTCATCACAGGAATAAATTACATTTTAAAATACATTCAAACAGAAAACAGGTATTTTAAATTGCAATAATATTTCACGTTTTTACTGTATTTTTTATTAAATAAATGCAGCCTTGGTGAGTATAAGGGACTTCTTTCAAAAACATCTAAAAATCTTACCAACCCCCAAATACTGAACAATTGTGAATTGTATTAATGATATTATGCTCAAAAGTTACTCTGTTTTATCATCAGTTGACACATCCGTCTATTCACTTTTGCAAATAGCCATGTGCTCACAGTTAGCAGCCCATGCTAATAGTCTCAAAATGGCCGACCGTTGTCCATTTATTCAGGCTGGCTGATGTATCGGTCCGTCGCTTCTTGTTATGGCCTTTCATATCAGGAAATGTGGAAGTACTTCACTTCTGGTCAAGATGGAAGTACTTAGACCTTATTTGCTTTTCTCATTTCCTTTTCAAGCACCTGTGCAATAATTGACATCCAATTACCTTTCATTCTTTTGAAGAATAAAGTGAGAGAAATCAAATACAGGAGTCAATACACAAGAAACGACATTGTGAAATCAAAGGCAGGACATTGCCATACTGGATATTGTATTTTTTTTTAAGTGGTTTTCCGTAATTAGCTTTTTTGATGAATAATGCTCTTGATATTAAAGAGGCTGCCTTTGATTTTGAAATCTCTTCCACACTGTGCAGCTAGAAATGGTGTTCTTTTCTACCTTCCTTTGCTAACAAAAGAAATAGTTCATCCAAAAGTGAAAGTTTTGTCATTTATTCACCCTCATGTCATTCCGACCACATATTACTTTCATTATTCCTCTGACATTCTGCCTTAGACCTCCTTTGTTATGAAAGTAATAATAATACAGGGCTGGAATGACATCAGGGTGAGTGAATGATGACAAAATGTTCATTTTTAGATGTGCTACCCTTTTAAAACATACAAGTTGAGAGTAAAAGTTGCTCTACAAACCTTTTATCAGGGATTTTTTACATATGATTGGAATAAATGGACATTTCCACAGGAAGTTAGCTACTCATGTCCGAGTTCTTGCAACAAGGACGTTCTGCTGAATCAGATAAGGGTGTAAATAAGAATGACTGCTGATTTAACACATGGTGAACGTCCGTTCGGATGAGTCAGTTCTGGTCACTGTCATGGCCGATAGCTAGCTGGCACATCATCCCCAGTCCGACGGCAGCCGTGGGGATGTCTGGCGCTGTGTCAGGGCACGTCTGTCAAACACTGCCCAACTGCAGCAGATGGTTAAAGACACTAGAAAACACTGGAAAATTCTGCTGAGTCTCTGGCAACACGACAAACGTTAATACTGCAACTGTTTTTATCCACTGATGTAGGCACTTGTACCAGAAATTAAAGTCTGTTTGTATTTGTAGTGGAGTTATGAGTCAGTATTTAGACAGACGTTTAATATTAAATGCTAACATATGCACTATATTGTAGTTTTAACACGTGTGTTTTGTAATTTGCTCACTCTTACCATTCGTTTTGTGTTTTGTCTTTAGATATGGGAAGTTTTGAGGAAGGAGAACGAACCCAAGCCGTATCCCAAGGAGAAGGAGCCGTAATACCGGCGCCTCATATTCGCTGTTTCCCTCAACCACAGGTTACCTGGTTCAGAGACGGTCGCAAAATCCCTCCCAGCAGTCGAATGTAAGTTTGTGAATCTCTTGGGTTTATTTTTCTAGTCCAGAGATACGCACACTGTTTTATCGCCACCAGGTGTTTAGATAGGTAGGTTATCTATCTATCTATTTATCTATCTATCTATCTATCTATCTATCTATCTATCTATCTATCTATCTATCTATCCATCCATCCATCCATCCATCCATCCATCCATCGTGCATTTGTTTGTTTGTTCTGTTTGTCTGTCTATATTTCATTTGTTGCCACAAAAAATGTGGGAGACAAATTTACATTTTATTTAAATTGGGGGGTGACATGTCTATCTATCTATCTATCTATCTATCTAGTCATTTGTCCAACATTCATCATTTGTTTGTTCATTTGTTTGTGAATTTTAATCATAATTTCATTGCGTCAGCTGGCATTGCAAAGCCTTTGAATGATGTTTCCAAGTATTTTAGCTTCTTCCATTTTTTCTGTCTTCCTCACACTCTCTCTGCCTTCCCAGGGTTCTCCTTTTTGCACTCTTATACATCTCGCTTCCACATGAACGTCTGTTTCTAGCTCTGAGCCAAGGTTACCTCGTGCAAATGAGTGGAGCAGATAACATTTATTCCAGGAAAATCATTTAATTGAATTTTAATCAGGCCATTGGCACCTCTTTCGCAGTTTCAAAGAGTCCGTGAAAAATGGAAATAAGCGTAACATTGACCGAGACACCCATGGAGGACTGCTAGTCTGTCTGAGAGTGTCCTGGCGCTTCTGAATCCGTCTGCTCTAGATTGGTGAATTCTAATCTCACTCTTTATTTTGGTCAGATTGTACTCATTTTGGCGGCCCTCGTTTCGCTGAAAACTAGCTGTGCGGCCCAAGGGTCATGAAATGGAGAGTTTTCAGAAGCACAAAGCTTTCTCTCTCACCTCTCATCTGCTCTCTGTCTCTTTTCCCTCTAATCATGCAATCACACCGCCCAGAAGAGAGCAGGATAATCAATGCCTGGGAGAGAGCCGTGTTTCTTCATTTTCGCTCAGAACCCTGCCTCCCTTCAGCCACTTTGAGATTCTAGCACACATGAGCACTGCAGTGGATAATAAAATGACATTTTCCAGCACTTTTCTTTTGAGTCGCCTACAGTGCTAATTTGTGTTAACAGTGCTGTTGACATTTTGCCAAATTATGTAAAGTTTATGTTACATAGAAAGTTTAAATTATAGAATAGCATTCTTGTTTTAAGAGACAAAATGACTCAGTATTTGCATTTTATGTGCTCACATGATTAAATCAGGAAGGGGTGAAATATCTTAGACTATTATATTATTACAGTAATTGCGTAGTAGCACTACTGTATATAGAAAGGCATTTTGGTTTGTTCTAAACCTCCAGTCTTAAATATTAAACATCTTGGCCTGAACCGAGGGATAGTTCACCCGAAAATGAAAATGTTGTCATCAGAATCAACCTTATGTTGATCCAAACCTGTATGACTGACTATAAATGTAGTAAATTATAATTTGTAAGCATGCATTTTTTTACTAAACTGTACCTTAACTAAAATAATGTTTATTTGGATATTCGATTCACTAAAAACTATTTTTATGCAGCTGATAGCATAGCTTTTATATCTGATTTACTAGAGGAATTCAATGCAAATCACATAACAGCACAGGCATTGCATAAAAATGTGTGCTTAGTGTAATTTACACACCATAATTGGTTGTGAAAAATTCAACAGACTTCAATCTTACATACTATGCTGAGACTGTACAGCGTTATTCCATCAGTGCAGTCCAGGCAATGTGCATCTGGATGTATGCCCAATTAAAATGCTTTTCTGCATCATTTGATCATCATTAAGTGATTTACTGCTGCCATAATCAATAGAGTATGTAAACAAACAATCTCTCTTAAATTAAATTCCACTTATTGCTTTTCGTGGAAGGTAATAGTGTAATGTAATTTGCCCCTGGCATTTAAAATTTGCCCTACAAAAAAAAAAAAAAACTTTTATTCATATTGCAGTTTTATGCCATTCATATAGATGTCTGTGATGCAGAGGTGGTTTTAATGAATGCATGAGAGCTGAGAACAGTTATAGGAACTCAAAAAACAATTTAACTCACTCTGAACGCTTCATCTTGTGTGTTTGTGTGTGCGCAGCCACTGAAGCCTGACCAACGTTTGACCATCAACTAAATTATTATTTTTTCTTTCTTTCTTTTTCTCATGTTGGGCAAGAAGAAAATGAACAGATTTTGTTGTAAATTGAGCTGTAGATTGGTAAAGCTTGTCCAGTAGAAGTAGCATTCTTTCTCTCTCCACGCTCCCCTGACTCTAGTTTCCCCTTGATGAGACAATTTCGTGCTGAGATGCTGCAACTGGGACTGTCTCTACTCCATCCCGGCTCCTGTTGGCTATGCTGCATTTAGGGAAGCTTGATGCCATTGTCACAATTCAGACCGTGATAATTTTCTTTTTCTTTTCTATAGTGGTATAGATCTGTATCCTTCCATAATTCTATCTATTCTGTCAGATTCTATCGTTCTGTAATTCTCTATTGTTCTATCTGTCGTCCTATCTGTCATTCTGTAATTCTATCCATCTTTCTATCTATCTCTCTGTAGTTGATATAGTTGATCTCTATCAGTCGGTGTGCCCCACAGCAGTCTTGCATGTCGAAGACAGCACCCTCCCTTCATTACTTTCCTGCCCACAGGGAGCGAGATAGCGCTCATTTAACCGAGATAGTCATTTAACTGCAATAGCCATTAGTCTTTCATTATTGAATAGGAATGCAATTGAAAGGCCCTTTTCCACTGACTGCATTTGATTTGTTTTGTTATTTGGGAGGGCTAATGTTGTGTATAATCAGAACCTCAGATGGTAAACACATTCCAGGAGCTGCACCACTCCCAGCGAGTGTTAAAGGAAAGGTGCTATTCTGTTTTCTATTTAGATTTTGTCCCTTGCATTCCGATCTATTCCACTAAAGAATTCGGTTTAGATGAGAGGCCAATAGTCCTCAGCGTTTGGATGACTGTTACTCATCCTCTTTGAGTTTCTCTTTTCAAAAACACAATTTCTAACAGGATCCCCACCACTTATTCTCTGGTGCGTTTTTTGGTATTTTCGCCTAAATTTGACATACTCAAATTCAAATGTTTACCCTACACACATACAATGGAGGAAATAAAAAAAAAAATGGTTTCATTGTAAAGAAAACCCTTTGAACTACAAAATATGAGTGTAATTCTTTATAAATAACATTATATATTTTTCAAATATTACAATAAACACAAAAAAACAGGCGCTTTTTTATTTTTTTTTTATATTATTTTGAAAATCTGTAATTCAGGTTCTATTAGGTCCAGCTCTTTGCAATTTACTTTGTTTGATGCCATTAGATGCCAAAATGTACCAGAAAAAAAAAGAATCTTTCAAATAACAGCTTCTAAACAGGAGTTATTGCATTATAAGTAAAGCGAGTAAAATTGTCCTTTTTTGCATATACATATGTCATTTTGAGTTTCCTTTGCAAAAAGAGGCTTTATAAAATACTTTCCCCCCGCAATTCTATTTTACTATGTATGTCCCGGATCCGGATACGTGTCTGCCCCCTCGACCACCCTCCCCCTCTGTTGACGCAGAGGTGTCAAATTTTACAGCTCTGCCTGGCCCGGCGTGAGTGTGTGTCATAAAACCTGACCAATTGCAATCGACAGACTCATCAGAGTTGTAAAAGATCAGACTTGCCTGGCATTAGATTTTATGACTTGGAGAGCGCGTCTATGGAAGCACGCAGAAACTTGAAAATGGTCTTCGCGTCTATGGAAGCACGCAGAAACGTGAAAATGGTCTTGTTTGAAAGAAGAGATCCTAATCTAAAAGATAATATAGAGTATATAGATATTTGCGGCTGACTGAAGCAGTGCTACGAGTAGGAATGTAAGCCATACGAAAATTTGCTTGGAGGTGAGAAATGTCACATCGTGATTCTATTGAAGATCATTCGATCTGTGATTGTCACACAATGAAATAATCTACATAGTCAACTTCCTGAGAATGAGAGCTTTCTTGTGATATATGACTTGACTGTTTTGTGAAAAATATATAAAATACACATTCTTCGGAAAAATTATTTGCAATCGTTAGGCGGAAATTCGTGTGTGGGACGAATACATTTCTAAGCTTAATTTTACTGTTTTATGAATCCTAAAACCAAGATTTATTCTTTGTAAAGAAGACACTCCAAGCTTTCAAATGAACCCATATATGGGCTGATACCATATAAGGAAGGCTATGTAAATGAAGCATAAACATTTTTAATGCGATTTTGGACCCGTATCAGGGTCCGCAGAGTTTAAGAGGTTTTAACCTCTTCAGACCAGAAGATTCTATATGATCCCTCACTTTTTAGGGGACTTTTAGCTTAGCAACATGCTAACATCAAATTATATTGGAACCAATTGGTGTAATGAAAACGTTATGCCATATATGAGGTTCATTTCATTTAGGATGCTGCTGGTTAGACAGCAAGGCAGCTCCAAACAGAGCTTGTGTGCACCTGCGTTCGAATGTGTGTGTTTGCTGACCCACTATAACAGTTATACATACACAATAGCGAGTGGAATGGCATTTGTCAGTGCAGCACTCTCCAGGGAGCAGCAGAGTCCGCAGTCAATGACCTCTATTACACTTAGACAAATATGCACGGCACAAGCCACGGTCCCTTTAGAGGCAGTAGGATCTCGAGCGGATATCACACGCACACAGTCATGGTAAATATATCTGGGAACACTTACAAATACTGACAGGACACACACAAGCAGATCTAGTGCCCACACACAGCACAAGCTGAATACAGGTGGTCAAATAAAACTGACAGAAAGAATATGCTTGAATTTTCCAGGGAAATTCCCAGGAATGGAAAACCGGGAGACGAAGAACACATTGTGCTATTGTGGTGAGGCTGGACATCATAGGCTGAAGTGCCCACACAAGACTCGGACGTTCTCCAATCCCCCACC